GGGGGGGGGGGGGGGGGGGGGATCGGGTTGAGATGCCAGTTTGTCATCGAAACAATTCCAGATTCTACTGGAGATGATTACTGAATACATACATGGTCTACGCTGTATGCTATATTGTGTACATATGCATGGACTAGTACAGTCGTCCCCGCAGTAGAGACAACATTTTTAACGGCACTCCCCGCTTTTAGGACACAAAAAATCTCAGAAACATGGTGCCCCGCAGTTGTGAAAAATTAGGGGGGGGTGTGTACTCATAGTCGTGCATGCCGTAGTCGTTAGACCATTGACCTCGCATCAAAATTAGGGGGGGTATGGTTTTCCACCATCCGACCCCCTGTAGATCCTGGATCATCAACAGCGGTCTGCTGCAGCCGCACACTGCGTGTGGGTGTATGGAAAGATTCATTCCATCTGCTAGCGGTTCGTCTGCTGCCGGCTTGAAGCCATGCGGCGAACCGACGTGCCAGTTCAAATCTGCACTGGTGTCCCTGGTTCATCAGCGTCCGTGCGGGCGACCCATGCACGCGTGTTGTGGTCGGGTTTATTTGGCGTTTGTGTTGTGTTGTGCCTCGTTTCGACCTTTTGGGAGGCGCGGTGTCCTCTTTGTCGCTGTGCTTTCCCGGCATTTTTGGTCTCTGTGTTTCTGCGTAACCTACATTTTCCTAGTGTCGTTTTACAACCTTCGATGTTTCTCAGGTGAGGTAGCGAGATCTTGGGCAAGATATTCACGGGGAGGACAACGCCTAAAAAATAAAATAAAGCTAATAATTAAGCCCATATCAACACCAGCGCACTACCGCCGTGTACATGTACGATGCGTAGGTCGCAGAACAACATCGCTTTCACCGTTTAGGTGGTGCAGTACGGGGAATTCAAACGATGGCATGCAAGTAAGTATGTATTGCAGCACAATAGCAGCACTGCTTGCGACCTTCAAATCACCTTGTGTCGTAGGTTTCAAACAACACCTCTTGTGGTCGCCTCTCTGCTGCGAATGCGCACCTTTTGACATATGTTTCGCCTTCATTGGGCCCGGGGATGGTGCGTTAGTGGCCCCGGAATTTTAACGACACTTCCCCGCGTTAAAGACACTTTTTTGGGGGGGAAAATGTGGGTGTCTTTAGAGCGGGGTCGACTGTATTCTGAGTAGCCTGACACCACGTAGACTCGTACTGTAAACATGAACGAATGAGACCATGCGCAACTCCGACGACATCGGACTACAAATCAAACTGGAAAAGTGCAACAGCAGTGCCGCTCTGACCTCGACTTCGGACGGCTTAAAGGTCAGCAAGATATCACCCTTTTCTTCTCCTCCCACTCCTGCCGCTGCTGCAGGTGCTGTTGCTCGTGCTCGACTCTCAACAGGTGCGGTTGCTCGCGGCGGCGAAGAACATGATCCGCGTGGCCGTGGTGGCCAAAATTGTGCACCATGCGTAAAACATGAGCTGGTCCGTGCCGTTGACAAGAAACATGTGACTGCGATCACCGCCCACAACGTGTTCATCACGACGTCGACAGAGAGCTAAGAGATACACACCTGTTAGCCTGATCATTGCGACATGCGGACCGGCAGCACAAAGGGGTCTCCGCGTAATGCGAATACCAATAAGCCCCACGAAACAAAACTTGCGTTCCCCCCAAAGCCCTGCCGCTGCTGCTCGGCTCTCCTGTCTCGGCTTGTCCTATCTACCTCTGTTGCTCTCACCTTGCACTCTTCGCCGACGCGCGGAACAACAACACTGCAAACTGATAAAGTAGTTATGATGAGTCCCACGACATCGGTGCTCACTGTTTTCGGGTCGCTGATTTCAGCCTCAGGTGAGCCAGCTTCTTCTGTTGAGATGCATGCGGGTCATTGGTTGCGTTTTCCCTCCTGTCTCTCTTTACTCTCACGGCAGAGGGCCATCACGGCTGTCTATGACCCCAGGAGTACAGTCTGGTCTCGTCCTCGCCGAAGCGTTCTGCCATCTTCCCACGGACCATCCGAGTTTCCCTCTCGAACGTGATCGCAAAATGTGCAGACACCGGCGAAAGAAATATGCGGCTCAAATCATGATAATCTCTTGCCAAGTGCAACGTGTATGTGCAACATGCAAGCAAGCGTGGTTCACACACTGGCAGTAGATGCATGCTGTTGTGGGTGTTTCGGTGTGGCAACGAAAACAGCAGGTCGTGATGTAGGGCTTAGAGCTCGCCGGCATGCATAGAAGAGCGAGACTTGCTGTAAGCGAGCAGGATTTATTCTCGAAGCTGCGTTGGTTGTGATCAAACCCACGAAACTCGTCCGCGCAGCTCGTGTGTTTGTTTTTGGACGTTGGTATACTGTACTGCTGTCTCTACTTGTAACCCTTGCAACCAACTGCTGTGCACGGGTTCGGTTGGATGGTATGCATGCTATCAGAACTAACAGCCGTAGTCTTTTCAGGGCCTTTCTGCCAGGATTGCACATTTCCTCTCTCGGCATCACAAGCCAGCATTTTTTTCACTTGGATATAGAGCAGCGGGTTTCCTGTCTTGGCGCACCAAGGCCAGCTTTCTCGAGGTTCGCCCTTTCGTCCTTCGCTCTCCCTGCGCACCGCACACTAAAATGAAGTTTTATTTTGGGGTACAAGGTGGTCCCTACTTGCCCATGGTAAGTGTACGCCCCCGATGTCGCCCACGACAATATTTCACGCCTAGGATGTACGTGCACTGCTGCTGTATTGGATGGCTTTCACGTGCCGGATTGAACCGTTTCCATGTAGTCGCGGAATGAACGTGGTACAAGAAGGAGAGGGAAGTGTACGTGACTGAGCTGGGAAAAATAGATGGGACGTACAGGGAGATGTTTGAGGCATTGGAGAGAGAGGAAAGGACGGTAGCTGTAGTGGGGCATAGGAGGTCGATTGAAAAGGCGGGAAGGGATATCGTAAGGACAGACAGACTAGGGACGACATTTTTGAGCCACCTTTGGCAAAGTAGAATGGCCGTCGGTGATCGGTCCTGTTGGAACAATACTCCGTCCTCTCGAGGACGCGTGGNAGGATAGACAGACTAGGGAAGACATTTTTGAGCCACCTTTGGCAAAGTAGAAAGGAACGATTGGCCATCGGTGATCGGTCCTGTGGGAACAATGCTCCGTCCTCTCGAGGACGCGTGGTCAATTGTCTAACCGCTAAGGCATGCAAAACATAAGAGTACGCCCCCCATCCCACGCTGCACCTTTGCACCAACCCCCCACTAATGATATTTACCATCGGGGTCGGGTTTTCGTCGCTTGGCAACGAACAAGCCGCCCCCCCCGGTGTTTGCCATCGGGGTTGGGTTTTCGTCGCTTGGCAACGACGTTGTAAAACAAGCCGCCCCCCCCGGTGTTTGCCATCGGGATTGGGTTTTCGTCGCTTGGCAACGACGTTGTAAAACAAGCCAATTCACTTCGTGAACTCGGCAACCAGGTTACCGTTTTTTTTTTTTTCCTCCGTTTATTTTTTTTGGGCGGTAACCATAATGATGGTTGAGTAGATCATGTTGTGCGGGGTGAACCCTCACTCCGCGCAAGGGGGATGATCGCACCACGTTGTGTTAAAATGGTCAAGCACCCTCGAGGCAGTTACACAGTGCTTACAACTGTCTCTGGAAGTGAAAGCACCAGAAAATAAATTAATTCATACGCAGCTGTCATCCGTACGCAAGGAAGTAAGCACAAGATGCCGAACACCCTTAGCAGGATGCAGCGCACCCTTCATGCGACTCGCCGAATATCTCACGGCGCTTCGCGCTCGGTGATGTGAGAGCCTGGTCCGGTGAGAACCCGGCGTGCTCCGTACAGGCTTTGTAGGGATGCGAGGTCAATGGTCTAACGACTACGGTATGCACGACAATGAGTACACCCCCCACACACACACTAGTGATGACGTACCATTACAATGTGTCGCTGGTTGGTGGCCATGTTTGTGTGTTTGATTGTTCGTTAGTGGTCTCTTCACCGTGTGCCCTTTTCTGTCTCTTATTTCTTGTTATTTTCGGCCTGGTCTCTTTTTGTCCTCGCTCTTTTTCGTTTTCCTTTCTCTTTCCTTCCTGTTTCCTACTTATTTTCTTTATTTTTCTTCTTTTCTTCTGCCTTTTCTGTGCCAGATGGCCTTGTCTCTGCTTGCGTTGTGAGGTACCAAGATTGAACCAAGGGGGTGTACCTCTTTCTCTCTGGCCCGTGGTGCTGGCTNCTAGTGATGACGTACCATTACAATGTGTCGCTGGTTGGTGGCCATGTTTGTGTGTTTGATTGTTCGTTAGTGGTCTCTTCACCGTGTGCCCTTTTCTGTCTCTTATTTCTTGTTATTTTCGGCCTGGTCTCTTTTTGTCCTCGCTCTTTTTCGTTTTCCTTTCTCTTTCCTTCCTGTTTCCTACTTATTTTCTTTATTTTTCTTCTTTTCTTCTGCCTTTTCTGTGCCAGATGGCCTTGTCTCTGCTTGCGTTGTGAGGTACCAAGATTGAACCAAGGGGGTGTACCTCTTTCTCTCTGGCCCGTGGTGCTGGCTCCTAGTCTCAGTTGTTATACCTCGCATAGCGCGCAGAGGGAGCGGAGGACTCCAGAATATCTGTCGTTGATTTCTTTTGACTTGCGGACCCCTCGGGGCTAGTTTATTTGAGTGTACCTTTTAAGAGTAAGTTAGCCTGTGACCACGGGCGCCCGCGTCAAGTGTTGGATCAGCACGGACATATGAAGGTACTGGGTAGAGAGAGATCGGACCGGTTTTTAATGTGAAGACAACAACAACAACAACCACAACAACAACAACAACCGGCCAGTAACTTCCGCCCGAGCCGGTCGCCCCGGTGGTCTACAGTAGTGGTATCCTCGAAAACCGCTAGTCGCAATGGTCGTGAGGTCGAATGCCCATGAGGGGGGGAAAATAACTCAGTATCTCTCGTGAGTACCATACTTCGACGTTAGCAACGTTGACGAGGGAAAGGGACGGCTGGGCCCTTCTCGTGACAAAAATAAAATTCAGCACGCCCCGCAGGAGGAAGGTGGGGCACGAAAATACATAGCAAGAAGAAAATAGCCCTGGTGTTTACCCCCTCCTGTGCGACCCTGGATGGTAGTATGCATCGTTGTACGAAAAAGTACACTGAAAAGTGTAGTTCACGTCTCACCACGAAGAATGGGGGGGCTGTCGCCATAACAAATAGGACGAAAACACACACATTGCTGTATGTATCCTGCGCCAACCAGACATTAAGTATTGTAGTACAGCAGTAGGTGTCACCGTATAGTGCCGATATATGCCCAGGAGGGTAGACCGGCACTATTCAGGGTCTCAAAATCCCTCAACAGTGCCCGCTTTGCACTATTGATTAGTGTTCGATTTCAGAGTGTAGCCCACATGCTTTGAGGAGCTGACAGAGCACCAAATTGATGGTATACGACTTAATTGTGAAGTGGGCGACGTGGGCGTGCTCTCGTGAGGCTCCTATAGTGTAGCCGGTCGAAAGCACGGCGTTGGTCATAATAACACGGAGTTGACCAGAAATAATTGTTGCGCGCGTTCTCTTCCGACCTCAGCCCATGCACTAAACTAGTGAAACGTTGCCGCTGCCTTTAAACCGTAGGACCGTGCTGACCGTTCAGAAGGCACCTCGTCGAAATCAAATGATGTGTATGTAGTGGAAAGAAGGCCGTAGCACTATTCAGGCAACCTCAAAGGCACCGCTCGACAGCGAAATAATGACGCTCATCATGCACGCACCCGATGGGCTTGGGAGGTACAACATGGATGTAGTGCTCCTTGCATGAACACAACAAACACAACAAAAGCAAATGCCACCCAAGCGAATGAAGAAGAGGACCAAACCTCACTCTTCCTTCGATAAGCTAGAGAATACGAGCCTTCGAAAGCACGGTAACTGACCGAAAAAAAGCACCATGAAACCGCTGTACGTAGCTACAGTATCTATGCTGATCTACTCCGTCTGTGGCCCTCATCGCAGAGGTGGTAGGGTCTTTAGCAGCAGCACGTGTGTACTCCTAGTGTGAGGCGTGTGTTGTTGTCAGTGTCTATCTGTGTGTGTGTCTTTATTATTCGGATCGACCGCGCCAACCGGCTGGCCAACGAAAAGACTTGAGTCTCAGTGCGGTTCAACAGAAATAAGTGTTTCTCAAGGCCATGATCTGGGACCCCCATGAGGGGGTGCCAAGGCTAAGCCATTCTCCGGATTAATGGCAGAAACGGTAGCAACAGCACATATCGAGTGCCACCAAGGCTACTTCTTTGCATACGCATTCGTGTCGGAGTTCTTTCATCATTTTCTTACCACTGCATGTACTACTCTCGAAACTAATACATATTCCACTGTTTTTGGGCGTCCGTCTCTGTTCCTGCGGCGTTTGTCGTGAGGAAAGTCATCTGGCTCGAACTCTTGGTCCCTTGAACGCCATATTTTCGTCCTCCATCACCACTGCTATCCCTCTCTATTCTTCCCTTTCCACCTCCTCCTTCGTCACTATCACCATGCTCTTTTTCTCCCCGCCTCACTACTACTGAAATCCCAACCTACTGGCTGATTGGTTGTGGTGGATTTTCTGGAATTTGGTCGAACAGTAAACCATGACGTTGAAAGACGTCACGAGTTCGTACAGACAGAAGCTAGCTCGAAGGTAAACCGTTTCCGAATCCTCTTGGTGTGGTAGGCCTTGAGGCGAAGAAAGGCTGTGTGTGTGGTCTGAACCGGCACTATTGAGGGGTTCGATAGTGCCTGAATCGGCACTATAGCGGGCAGCCCTCAATAGTGGCACCATTCAGGCCTCTGCCTGTCTCAAGAAAATTTACCGGCACTTTACCGAACTTTGGAAATATTCAACCGGCACTATACCGGGACACCTACTGTATTTTTCTCAACTCCTCATGGCTCCGCTGCTGCTGTTGCTGTTGCTGCTGCTGCTGCTGCTGCTGCTGCTGCTGCTGCTGCTGCCACTTCGCATGCCCTTGTCTTTGTTGCCATCCGACTCTTAACTCTTGGTTGTGTCCATCATCTAGTCTCCGATGCTTTCGTGGTGCCGATGATGTCGCCCTGGGGGGTCCCGTCTGCCTTCGCCGCCAAGAATAAGGTCGGCGGAACCCCCACCATGGTGGCCACTCCCGACAGGGTCTCCACCTCCGCGTCCTCCTCGGCCTTCGAGCCCACAGAGGGGCCCAACGCGCCCCTTCGTGTCAATAACAAAGGCCAGGTACGATTGAGCGGTCCAGGGGAATAGTTGGGGTGCACCGGGGGATGGTTGGGGTTTCGAAGGGAAGGTAGATGAGGCCGGGCGAGCACTCTTTTCCTCTTGTTGAAGGGATTGGGTGCACAAGATGTAATGCGTGTTTGGGGATCCTTAAGTCGTGCACGTGTGCATACGGTTGTGTTTGTATTTTGTTCAGTTGCGCGATGTGTGATGTATGCAGCACAGCACTTGTGGAAACGCAAACTTGAAATGTCACGAATAGAGCGGCTAAGCATCGAGAGTGAGTCTGGTGACCACCTGCCTCACCCACCGCGGTACCCCTGTACTTGATAAGCAGTTTTCTTTTGTGATGTCTGGCTCCGCTCGCTCCTTTTCCCCTACGATGTGCGGTTGAGAACTTTTGTTTCTCGTGATTTCATCCGTTAGCCTAGGTTGCATCAGAATCCATGTCAACTCACGACGCTTGTGTATTGGCGGGTTTCCTCCTCTGACGCCGGCAGGCTTGGGTGCCCCAGCGGCCGCGGCCCCGCCGCAACCGTAAGAGCGAGGCAGTTCGCTCGATGGTAAGGGAGAACGTAGTCCGGCCTGCAAACTTCATCTACCCGCTTTTCATCCACGAAGAGGTGAGACAGTTTTTTTTTTTGTGCATGAGTCAATCTCTTCTTGTACGCCGTTGTCTGCCACAGCCGCTTGGTGCCAAGTTTGGAAACTTGACACCGAGTAGTCATCACCAAGGTGGGTGTATCGCAACGCTCTTCGTACAATATCCATTTCAGCTACTGCTTATGGCAGTGGCTCCTATGTACGGCCGCATTGTGCCAAGGGCTTTGCCTGACACTATGCAGAGTATGAAACAAAAACAACTGAACTATTCGACATCGCCACGCGAAAAGCAGGCCTTGTCCCGGGCGACTGGCGTTGTTTATGCGGCCTTGTACAGGGACCACTTCTGTCCTGTTGCGGTGGGCTCGTATTCGTGTGCTTCCATTTTCGCATTGTCAGATAATGACCAGGCGTTCTCAGGTCTTTGCTGCCCCACTGTGCAGATATCAAGTCGCTCTGTGCGTCTCACTTGCACTCGCACGTGCCCTCATCTCAAACCACATTTTGGTGACCCCGCCCCCGAACTATTGGGCAGGACTTTGAGGTAGAGATCAAGCCTATGCCTGGGTGCCTCCGGCACAGCCTCCCCCACATGTTGAAGGAGGTGGAAGAGGCGTGGCAGTTCGGCGTTCGCACCTTCGTGGTCTTCCCCAAGGTAAGCTTAGCACTGGGACGACGGGATGGATGATGGCTTACGCGGTATTTTTTTTTTCTTCAAGCCGACCGACCGTGCTCTATTCCACGTTGGGGGGTGTTGCTGTGGTCTGGTGTTCGGTGATGGTACGGGTCTTTCTTATCGCCACCTACCGTATCCGCTGCTGCTCTGCTTGTTGTTGCTATTCGCGGTCGGGGCTGTGGCCGGCGTCGTCAAGCTTTGGTCCACAAGCACGGTCCATTTCTTTTTTTCAATAACCTTTTCCTGACCCCCCCTCTTGCTCGCGTGCTTCCCAGGTACCCGACAAGCTCAAGACCAATTACGCAGACGAATGCTACAACCCCAGCGGCATCGTGCCCCGCGCCGTGAGCATGATAAAGGAGAGGTTCCCCGACAGCATCGTGTGCACAGACGTGGCCTTGGACCCGTACAGCGACCAGGGGCACGACGGAGTGGTCAAAGACGGCAAGATCCTCAATGACGAGACCATCATGCAGCTCACCAAGCAGGTGTACCAGGGGGGGAGGGGGGCTCCAGTCGCGTCGCGGTGGTTATTTCTTGTTGTTTTAGCTGGTGCCGGGTAGGGTTTTGGGCGGGCTTGGCTCTGACGGAGAACGTTTTAGGTGAGACGTGTACGGCACGCGCCTTCGTGAGTGGATTCTTTGTCGTGTTGTTGGTGCTGTCCCTGCTGCCGCTGCGCATGTCGACGGCTTGCCTTCCTCCAGTGGCATTGCCGTTACTCCCGAGGTTTTCAGTCACGGAGAACCTAGTCCTTCCCCTCCGCTTCACTGCTGTTGATCCGTTTCATTTGGGTGTGTATCGTCAAAGGGCGTCTCGTTTATCAAGAAAAATGACCACTCGAGCGCGTGCACTCACTAACCTAGCGTATTGGAAGTGCTTCCGAGGGACGAATGTATCGCGTACACCACTTCCATGTTTCTGAGAAACCTTGTCCCCTGTGTAGAGAGTCCGGTAGTTGAGTAGTCCGTCGTTGCAGTTGGTCTAGGAAGGGACGCGTGTTCACAGTAAAGACAAGTTTTTTATGCCATTTCCCTCTCCCTGGCTAGGCCTGCCTTTTACCCAATGCTTGCGAAGGGTCGGAAAAGTAAGAGCGCTGTCGACCTTGTTGCACAGCACCCCCCCCGCTTACGCTGGTACACGTCTGCCGCCTGCCACGGACGGATTTTGTCAGGTGGTGTGCCAGGCCCGCGCCGGTTCTGACGTCGTGGCCCCGTCGGACATGATGGACGGCCGAGTCGGGGCCATCCGCGACGCCCTCGACTCAGAGGGCTTCACCGACGTTTCGATATTGGCAAGAAAAGTTTGCTTGGCAGGGTGTTTGGATTGTCTATGTATGTTGGCGTTGGTATCCCTGCCCGCTTCCGTTGATCTTGTCTCGATCCGGGGCGAAGGAGGGGGGGTAGGTGGCTCCGCTGCGTGCCCCCGTGTGCGTGCCACACCCTCCGTCGCATCCACAGAGCTCCTACACAGCAAAGTTCCGGGCATCTTGTACTGCTGCGTCACTTGCATACGGGTATTATGTGCACGTGCAAATGGCGTCCAGGTTTTGGAGTTGCCCGAGGTGGATTATTTCATAGACGGCTGAAGGCCTCTTCGTGGTGGGGCCCTGTGTAACACTTGTATCCCGATGGAGCATGCCACAATGTTCCTCGGCACAGGTTGCCGGTCGACATGATGTGTTGTTGCTTTCTTGAATGACACAACCGCGGCTTTTAGTGAATCACCAGCGGAGATGGGGTAACCATCGGTGAGAGGCGTAGGCGTAGCGGACGAAAGAAGCCAAGTGAGAACAATATAATGGTTTGTGGTCGAACATGAAGAGGGCAGCCATTAGTCAGGCTTCAACAAGTGTGCCCACCTCCGCGTCTTGTTTTCCTGCACTGTCCGTTGTCATAGGCGTACACGGCCAAGTACGCGTCGGCGTTCTACGGACCGTTCCGCGATGCCTTGGACTCCCACCCCGGGTTCGGCGACAAGAAGACGTACCAGCAGGACCCCGCAAACGGAAGGGAAGCGCTTCTGGAGGCCGCTCTTGACGCGGCTGAGGGTGCCGACATGCTCATGGTAGGGGAAACGGAAGGGAAGGGGGCACGCAGTTGAGTTTTTTTTTTCGAATGTAGGAACCTCTGTGCATGACCACGAGTTGGAGCTCCTGCCCAGCAGAACTGCTGCGAGCCCTGATTTATATTGAAAAAAATAATGTTACCGGCACTCCAGTTTTTCAGCTACCCAACATCGAAAAGCTTTCCGTGGGTTTCGTATTTCCTCTGCACATTACACAACTCTTGTCATGGGATCTAAGCAGTAATTTGATTCGTGGCGTGAGCCTTGTGGAAATTCGACCGCAACAGCGGCAACACCGCCGTCTTTGCCCCCAACACATGGACGCCTTGCGGCCGGCCTTTCGGTGACTCGCTCACTCGCCGTCCCGAAACCAAACCGAACTGAACGATCTCTCGTGCCGTGTGCGACAACATGTTGCGCTGCTGGGGTGTCTTGTCACAGGTGAAGCCCGGCATGCCTTACTTGGACGTGATCCGCCGTCTGAAGGAGAGCACTCCCCTGCCCATCTCAGCCTACCACGTGTCGGGGGAGTACGCCATGATGAAGGCGGCAGTGGAGCGGGGATGGCTGGATGAGAGGGCGGCGGTGCTTGAGGTGATGTGACGATGAGTTATCGTACACGATGTTGTGGGTTGTGGTACTAGGCGATGGGATGCCGCATGGGATGCGATGCCGCATGGGATGCGATGCCGCATGGGATGCGATGCCGCATGGGATGCGATTCCGCATACGATACCAGACTCCATACTATCGCTGGTATTTCCGGGGATTCGAGAGCCATGTCCCACTTGTTTTCCCTCCGCGATTACAGCGCAATCGATTGCGGGACCGTTCCGCACATGCGAATGTACATATTTTTTCACACCGCCTCACTCCTCTTGTTCCTGTTTCATTTCGGCCTATCTATTACAGGCCATGACTTGCTTCAAGCGAGCCGGTGCGGACGTGATCCTGACGTACTACGCCAAAGACGCCGCCAGGTGGCTCTGTGAAGACGGGCTTCTCTAGATGTAGGCAGGACAGCCCCTCTCACACGATCGGCCATGCTCTCGCGAATCACGAAATGATAAGGGCGGACAGCCGGCGCTTGAACGTGGCCACTTGTGCTTTCAGGTTGACACCGATTGTCGGCGCTTGTTGCTAGAGAGTTGTCGCTGTGATGTTTCGTTGGCACGGCTCTGCACATCTTGACGGCGTGGTGCTGTTCGCGGCGGAAGGCGTTTTTTTTCGTTTTCTTTCGAGCCCGCGAAACCGCGGTGCTTTGACTTGGACGTGCTTGCGCGCGTGGAATCAGTGTTCTTGCATATTTCCTCCAGGAAGAAGGAACGCGCTTGCGCTGTGCTTGTGCAGCTCGCCAGGAGTCTGGTAGTTCTGCCGTGTGGGTTGCACTGGTACGGTTCGTGCTCATGTATACTGGATATTATACATGACATAGAAAGCTCACCGTACGTGAGGAAAGGATCCATGTATGCATAGCGACATTCGGTTTGGTGGGGCTTGTGGAACCCTGCTGTACGTCGCATTGCAACGCTACACATCGATGATGCAATATTGTTACCTTTGCGGGACTCCAACAGTGAGGCGCTTGGCTGAGGCTTGGAACAGTTCCAGTTGAAAGAGAAGCAAGAACGACACACACATTTCCGGACACGCAAGACGCCGGCCGCCCCGATGGCTCAGTTGGCAACCTCGTTGCCTTCGGGTCGCTAGATTGCGGGTTCGAAATCCCTTTGGATTGGAGACATCGCGGTGTAAAAGCGTACGGCCGTGAGCAGCACAACGCGAGGGCAGATACTACTGGACCCCCATCGTGTTTAAGAACCAACCACCGCATCGGGAAAGGTGGCGCCAAAAAACACTCCAGTGTTCTTCCTGTGAATCCGGGTGGTGGGATCAAAAATTATATTCCGAAACATTGTCTACTCGTGTCCAGCACATTTGGGCACATCAACACAGACTTGGTACTCAAGGAAGGCCCGAAGACTGATAATCTAACTTCAACTGATCAGCTACCCCCTCCAGATTGGTGGACGACTTTGCATGCAAAGCAAGTCAACATGCAGCTTCATCTGGTCATCATGCTTTCGAACACGAAGATATTAGTAGGCGCGCGACGCAAGCAGCGGCGGTGGCGTTCTTTGTGGAGCCGGCTTCGTGCGAACAACTGCAGCAGCTCCGCTACCATGACCGTAGAAGTAGGGGTTACATCGACCACGATGGTGTGAACTGTGCACCTCATGGGCCTATCAATTTGGGGCACTGGAGCAGATTCGGAGCGCTACTGCTGCGGTTGTTGAGGGGGCCTTCGGTGTGGCAAACCCTTTTTGGAAGGGGGTGGGACAAGCTGCCAACGAGACATGCGCTGAAGACAAATGAAATAGTCCGCTACCAAAGTACCCATCGTGTACCCTATTCAACACAACATGTCGTTTACGTTGTACATAAGCAACGAGCTCTTGGGCCTGAGCGCTGGAGCCGTCTGCGACGCCGGGCTGAACACCACCAGTGTTCAGTTCCTGGCAAGTTTCCACCCGACTAACACATGCGCGCGTATTTTCGACAGGTGTTTTCCCCACTGTGCTCTCTGGATATTGGCACTATTTCCAGCGACGCCCCGGCGTCTACACATATGTGCCTTCCGCGTACCGACCACACTGACCCACACACGTTCTTGTGGCTTATGATTTTGCAACGTAGGGAAGGAAGTTCCCCCCGCCAGGCTGGTCTTTACTCCTGCTGTGCTTTTGGTCCAAATTACTCCGCATATCCTTCACGACCCAGCCTCCACCGGGGTACGCCGCTGACGCTGGCATATGCCATTGCGAGCGGTCTCACCCACGATAAATGCACAAGGAGAGGCATCACATAGCACCATACCGAGCTACACATTTTGCTGAGTTGAACCACTTGGTTGTTCTCGCCCGTATCCATCCTCAGACGTGGTCATGCAAGCCTCGAACACAGCAGCTCCGCGCCCGGGTGCCAACGCTGTCCCCCAAAACCGGACCTCTTCGCGGCGACAGCAGCCGCCGCCATCCTCCTCCCAACCATCCACCGTTGCTCCTGCTCCCCTCGCGAGTGACACCCACGGCCAGGGAGTCTGGATGTCGTTAAGCACTTCCCCCGAAGACACGTTCAGCAGTCGCACGCTGTCCCCCTCCGCAGGCACCGGCTCGGCGCCGTACCCGCCGCCGTGATCGTTCCTGAAGTCGTACATGCTCCCGCCGATACCGTTTGGGAGGCCGCCAATAGTCGAAGAGGAAAACCTTTGCCAAGCATGGGGGTGAGGTGGGAAGCGCTCACCCCCGCCGACTACGGTAGCAGCGCCGGTACCTCCGTCCGCTCTTGCCGCCGCTGCCGCTTCCGCCGCTACCGGCGTCGCGACTACGGTCTCCGTTGCGTCCAAGGCGAACTTCGCTGGCCAAGGCGCCCGCTTCCCTTGCCTCCCGGGCGGAACCAGGACCTCCAGCGCTCCCCCCCTATGCCCGAAGAACCGTAGATCGGTGACCTGCAGGCAGCCCGAGCGGTCCTTGACGAGGCACCGTGTCCCGTCGCGCAGGATGTGCGTGTGGTCTACAGATGAGGGGTCCGCTCGGGGGGCCAGCAGGGTCCCGGCGGCGGCCGGGGTCCTGTGGCGATACGGCTGTCGGGGGTCGACGAGGACAACGGTGCCGTCGCGCAGGCCGCAGACGAGCGCGTTGCCGGCGCCCGGGGCGGCGGCGGGGAGGAAGGACATGGAGAAGACGTCGCCCGACAACTAATTTACCGTCCGTGCGCGTAGAGCGCGGAAAGAGAGCGAGAGCGAGAGCGAGAGAGACAGAGACAGAGACAGAAACAGACAAGAAAGACAGATGCCACGTCATGTGCTTGGATGTACGAGGCAGGGGGCAGTGGTCAAATTCGGAAGATCCACGGAGGGAAATAGACCCAAGAATGGTTGTTAGAGGGCAATTATGGAACGCCCAGATGGGAGAGGTCCACACCAGCAACGGGACACACGATAGGCCAACCATAAATGTCGGGGATACCCCTCACAAACCCGCCCGGGCACTCGCAGCAAAAACAGTCAAGGTGGGGGGGAAAAGCCTGTGCCCGACTCTCCTCTCTCGCGCGAGTCGTGCCCCAGTTAGGATTTGCAGGCCACACCCGGTTCTAGGACACTCTCCCTGTCTACCACAGGTTGTAGCAAAATTGTTGCTTACCTTGGCTACTGGTATCACTCGCTGTTGATCTACGTCGAAGAACACCACGGGGCTGCAGGTGCTCGGCCCGATGGCCAGTCTTGCCGGGGTCAAGGGGTCCCACTCCGTGCACCAGGCGGAGCCCCGGTGCAGCTGATCTCGAATGAAAGATTCACGAGACGCGACGCAGCAGCATTTTGATCGTTCAGGAAAGCCGGCCGGGGTCAGTCATGTTCCCGGGTAGATGGCCAAGGGATTACGGGTCGGCCTTGGGCTTTTCCCCGGTCCGTCGTTTAATCGATCCGCAACGGGCCTCGGTGCCTGAGATGCTGCATGGCGGCACCAATGAATTTCGTCTGCAAGGAACGAGCCGACGTATCCGTTGACTGATCGCCACCCGTTCGCCAACGGGGAAATGCACGGGAAGCCGGGCCGGCCGATCAAGTCACGGCCTCAAGCACATCGAAGGGTGCGAATACCACGTGAGGCGGGAGGGGGTCCAAAGAAGCGGCCCGAGTAATGCACAAGCAACGGCACATTCGCCCCAGGTCTAATCCCCACTACCCGACTCAAATATAATCATCACCTGTTGATCGACCAGGCGCCCCTCGGAAAAAACATTAACCAAATCCCCACGTCCCGTCCAAAACCTTGCAGTCACCCCGCCTGGCTGGCCACCGTCGCCCAACGACGCTGTCGCGCAGGCCCATTCCGCTCCGTGCCCACGGAACTTGATGTCGGAAACCTTGGGGCAACAAACGCGCATCGTGGTAGGGGTATAGTGTTTTCGCAACCAAACATGGTCGTCCACGGAGCTGGAAAAGCCAAGTACAAAAGCACAGCCATTAGAGTCCTCGAATGAGCCACCCGCTCTCCCTACGCTGCATGAATACAAAACCTGTCCAACTGACCTGGCTCCTCCAGCGTCTTGATGCAGCTGTCAAGAGCACGCGCTCCTCCTCTTTCCGAGCCCCGCCCCACCGAGGAGCGAATCCCCGAAGCTGGGCATCACCCCCATCCCCACCGCCAACATTCATCGGGGCCCCGGTCATCATCACTGCAAGACCGCCGTTCTTTCTGCCAGCGATGAGGACCCCCCGCCCGGCATCCCAGTCAACGGCCGAGTAGCCGGCGCCGTGAATAACGCTGGTGTGCGCCCAGGGCACGTGGTCCCGAACCCGGAAACGAGAGCTCGAGACTGCCGACTCAAGCCCTATCCGACGCAGTCGTTCCGGACGGGCCGGCAAGCCTGCGAGAGTGGAAAACCGGGCGATGGGTGGGGACGCGAATCCGGCGAGTGTACTCTTGTAAACGCAGGCCGTGGTCGGTAGGGCGTAGACCTCGCAGCCCTACACAACTGCCGGGACGGAGCGACATACGCCGGGGTTTCGTCGGCCCAGGCTTTCGTTTCACAAGGATGAACCAAAAGCTGGCGTCATCCTTCCATTTGCTGTGCCAAAACAGTGATGCCATGGGTTGATTGGGCATCCAGGCAAACCAAACGGTTCACTTTCGGCAGGCATGACTATACTTCCAACCATGGGGGGTCGATCTTTGCCCGCCTGTACACAACATGCGCGCCGCACACAGGGAACACGTTGCGCTTCGTGTGTGATACACTTGCACAAAAATTTTGGTTGTACACTCCAGGTGGAAAATTCAGACGGGGTAGCTCTACTTCTATTGCTGCAAAGAGCATTCCAACTATCCATTGTTTAGCGGACATCCTATAACGTGAACACTCTACACTCTAGGACCGAAGTCCACAAGCTCACAGGACATACCGCAAAAACAACCTGCATCCCCTGTACTTGTACAGCAGTTTGACAGCTCCACGCCACAAGAGTCTACCCTACCTCGACCACTCCACCCTCGAACCTCATAGGCAGGGGAATTATCTGTCTCAGTTTTCACGCGGTGAGCGGGGGGGTAGAGGTGTTGTGTTGTAGGTGTTGCAACGGCGGTGCGCGGTGATTCGTACTCTTGTTTTGGCCGCCGATGGGGAGTGCTTTAACTCGTCTGTTGTACCGCAGCACAGCAAACTTCCTCCTCACGTCTACTAGAACCTTACCGCACGATCTCCGGGTTCTATCGTCCCAACCCCAAAGCCCACGTCGACTGCTCATGGCGTACGAGTGGAGCCCTCTTCTCCCGACCGAACCTATATCCAAATGCCCGGTCCGAGGGGCAGCATCCGCAGGGCACCCCGCAGAGGCAGCGGCAGCGACATAAGAGCGGCCGTTGCCACCGTGATTTGCCACGAAGTTACTCCGTGATTCGCCTCGACTGGCCTTGCTGCTTCCCGTTCGCGCCGGCGGAGTCGGCGGCCCAGAGCTCTTGCTTTTCCCACCGCCGATCTTGCTTCTGAGGTTTTGCTTCGACTTGCTGTCGGCCACTACTGTTCCGGGAGTCCCCTGGCAGTCCTTGACACACCGGAAGTATCGGTTGCGAGCAGGGTCGAACATGTGGCCCGGCAATGCTTGGGGGAGCGGCGGCGGCGGCTGTGGAGGACTGCCGCTTCCCGGGGTCGTCGTTGCTGCTGCTACTGCCGCTGCTGCTGATGGCGGTGCAGGCACCTGCTGCGCAATTCTGGCCCGCTGAGCCTCCAGTGCGGCCAGGATATGGGGAGCAGTCTCCTGCATACGTGCGGCAGCAGTGAAGAGTACGAACGCAGGCGGGGGTTGTTACAAAACGATAGGATAAAGCGTGGCAACCTTTCGCTTGGTCGCGGCACATCGTCACGTACTGTACAGCAGTTGTTGAAGTACATGTGGTGGATGCTCATGCTCGGGCAGTACAGCAGCAGTTTGATCATAGCGAAACACCGCTACAGGGCAAAATTGCAGCAACGTGGACACCTTTGGAGGCTGTAAAGCACTATCTTCCCCTTTTCATCTCCCACATACTCTGCTCCTGGTATGTATATGCATTTCTACCGCGCTGTCTCGATTCTCCTGTTCTCCTGACTGTCACGGCGGTAACGTAGCCGCAAAAAAAACAATCTCACAGAGAAGATGCCCTACCGCTGGTCGGGATCTGTTGTTTCTTCTTTTCTTGCCAGTCCCTCTTCTGTTTTTGTTATTTGTGTTGGATGGCGGCATGGTTTTTCCGCTGTCAGCCTGCAGTGGGGGCCCCTGGTGCCGTCGTGGTGCTATGGCAGTGAAGAGTGAAGTTGGGCCGTGGGCAGAGTTGGGCATGGAGGGGAGCCGAGGGATGAAAGCGGAGCAATCGGGAGTTCAAATGACGTGTTGGATTCTTCGATAGGGCTCACCTCCGCTCAAACGTTTTTTATCCCGCCGATTGGCCAACGAGAACCAATCGGAGAACCAGGAGGAACATTTGCAATTTGCAATCCAAGGATTATGTAAAGAACCAAAAACTCTCCCTTCTTCCCCTCGCTCCTCGACAAGCTTTTGCTTAGACATGGGTTGTAGCGAAGGGGGGGGTCTTTCTGGCAAGCAGGGCTAGACTCACCCTCAAGGGATGACCGAAACCTTCTTGCTGCTGCGCATCCGCCGCGAGGCGTGCGTGTGGTGGTGGAGTTGGGTCGGCACTGATGGGGTCAGGCGGGATAATGTAGACTAGATAGATGCCTTTCTGGCCGTCGGCGTAGGCAGTGATGCCCATCTCATTTTTGTGCGCGGAGGCAGACACCATTAGAAAGGTGGACGGGCACTACACGGTCCTAGGTTTGCTAGACGGAGCTGTATTGCCTCAGTAACCTGGCTTCGCCATCAA